CCTTTCCAACCTAGTGATTCTGTGATCTGTGGCTGCTGCCCAGGGGAAAAACTCTCCGACATCTTTAGTCTGGCACTGAGAGGGGACATGAACCTCAGGTAAGGCAAGCAAAGTACGCGTTCATTGCCCAGGTCAATCTAGTCGTATGACTGGTTCAGAAGCCAGCTTAATCAACATTAGCAATCCCCAAGAAGCTCAATAAAGACTGAAAAAAGTCTAGAATATTTTTCTAGTAAAAAATTTCTTTTCTATATTCTGGAGCGTGTCCAAAGGGCAACAAGGCTGGTGAAAGGTCTAGGTTCTGAGGGAACTGGGATTGTTTAGTCTGGAGAAAAGGAGGCTCAGGGGAGACCTCATCGCTCTCTACAACTACCTGAAAGGAGGCTGTAGCGAGGTGGGTGTCAGTCTCTTCTCCTAAGTAATAAATGATAGGACAAGAGGAAATGGCTTCAAGTTGCACCAGGGGAGGTTTAGAGGGTTGTCAAGCATTGGCACAGGCTGCCCAGGGAAGTGGTTGAGTCACCATCCCTGCAGGTATTTAAAGGATGTGTAGATGTGGTGCTTAGGGACATGGTTTAGTGGTGGACTTGGCAGTGCTAGGTTAACGATTGGACTTGATGATCTTCAAGGTCTTTTCCAACCTAAATGATACTATTCTAGTAAATCTAGAATATTTTTAAAGCACCCATATTGCTCAATGAGTCAATTTCTCTCAGTTTTACCATAAAATAGGATTTTGTAGCTTTCTCTGAAGCATATGGCATGCTGCTCTTGATGAGAAGGGTGCAGGAAGACTTCTTCAGCTCCACATAGCATCTATATGCTATATCTATCCATATAGCAGTATATAGTTCTGTGTAAACTGAGCACGCCGTCTGGAGGGGCTGCATCAGAAATGTGGAATTAGCAGAACCCCACAATCCAACAAACCCTAGTGATAAAACAAGATCCAGGGGGAAAATACCAAGTATTACTTTCTCTGTCACTTGTGAATTTCTGAAATGTGAGCTGTACCCATAACGAGGGTTCTTTCTGAGCTTGTAGAACTTGAGTCATTTTCCCCCTCTCTATTCATGTCACATCCTTATACAACCTGATAGTGATGGGGAAACTTCATGACAGGTTGGGGAAGAGTGAGGTAAAGTCTTCTATTAAAACCATGTGTCCAGGTTAGTAAGAAAAATTAGTGCATTCCATAGAAAGTGTCTTTCTTGTACTGAAGGGTCCTTTCTTCATCTCAGCATTGTAATGACCACATGCTCAACGGTCCTGGCAATTGGACTAATGCCTCTGCTTCTGTACCTTTACTCGGGAGGACTATACGAGGGTGATTTGGAGGGCAAGGTGCCTTACAAAGGAATAAACACCTCCCTGGTCCTAATGCTAGTCCCCTGTGCCATCAGCATCACCTTGAATGAGAAGAAACCACAGTACGCTGGCTTTATCATCAAGGTAAGAAGTACCCTGTGATAGTTGCCTTTCAACCAAGGGCCTCAAGGAAGTTTTCAGAAATAGAGGCACAGAAATACTAACTTCATTAAAGGAAACCACAAATCAATGAAAGGGTTGAGGATAAAACTCAAGACATCCACTCCACCACTTTAATAATTAAAATATTTGCCCAAAGAGAAGTGCTCCACCTTTCCCAAACAACATTTTTTAGGCAACTTCCTACTTTGCTGTCCTTTGTTGGCTTCAGTTTTAACTTCATTTTCTTTTGCTACAAGCACCACTAATAAGCCTCATAGGCACTGCCCCCAACTACTGCTGTAACCAAAGCAGACCCCAGATTTAAAAAAAAACAAAAAACCCCCACCAAAACACCCCACTATTTTCAGGGGTCTAGCACAGGGCAAGAGTCATGTCACAAGTTGTACACATCACAACAATCACAACACAACAAGTAAGTTGCTGCTTACATCAGTGAGATATCTATCCAGCAGAAGCCACCAGATCACGAAGTGGCTGCTTATGCCTGGAATCATCTCCCTGCCTCCTTTGTACATCAGGCATTTAAACAGCAAAAGGGAAATCTGGACAACCAACTACACCATTGTCTAACTCAAGAGCTTCACTAGCAATACCTGGAGAGCTGCTAACAACTTTGGAAACCCACTTTTCATAGTTTCATCTGCTAAGACTTTATCTCAGAGAAACTGGGACCAAGCACAGCAAGAACTGGGTGCCAAGACTCAGTAACAGACCTGATAAAAAGGCATGAGGAATCACTAACCTCTAAGATGCATGGGTACCTGGGAGTCAGGCTAGAGCAGATGCAGGAGGACCAAACCACTTCAAAGGTTCCTTTACCCAGCATAGAGCAGTGGTGGTTTCTAAAGAAGCTTTAAAAGCCCAGCATAAGAAGGTGACCTACACCAGCCCAGTTGACCCTTTGGTCATGTCCCTTTCTGCTAACACTGCATTTCCATTTATCTCCTCTACAAATGAGGAAGGGGGTGGAGACTTGCTTTTAAAAAACACCTGGGGAACTTCATCCAAATTGGACTCCAAAGTGGAGAGACAGGCAGGAGAGCTGTGTACTCTGCCTCTGAAAATTCCCCAGCTGCTTCATCTGCTGACTCACCAGACTCCAATGAGATGACCTAAAAATGCAGCCACCACCTTCCAGACCTGCTGTAGGCAGACTCTACCTGTGAGCTTTGGGTGGACTAGAGTCACAAAGGGACCCGGACAGAGAGACACATAGCACTGCCTAAGAAACAAGTGGCTGGTGGAGCAAGAACCAGTCATTTTGCATATAGATCAGAAAGGTGCTTGATTATTTAAGATCTCACTAGGTAATAACCACAAGATGGTCTCTTGTTGATTACATGTAACATTTATGCCCATGAAAAGCATTTATGCATTCTCACTATATACTTACATATGTGACGGACAGGGAACTGGCCACAGTTGCTTCCAACAGCTGAGGCAATTTTTCCTGGGGATTTCTTTCTTGTCCATGTCTTGACCACTTTTATTTTAGGCAGGGGTGGTGGTGCTTCTACTGTCATCTGCTGCAATAATTGTTCTGTCTGTGGCCAATGTGGGAAGCGGTATCATGGTTGTTTTCTCACCATCCCTTGTGGGATCTTCTTCCTGCTGGGCTATGCTCCCTCTGCAGTCTTCAAGCTTAATGACCGGTATGTTCCTCCACTTCCCTCTCCCCTCACTCTCTATCATCAGCAGAGCAGAGAGGTATGGCAGCTCTGGGCCTATGGAGCAATGGTGAAAACATGGGTTTCAACATGGATGTGCTTTTGTAAAATAAACACTGATTGCAGTCTCCCAAAACGGGCCCGAGGAGTACGAGCAGATGCACTGCAAGCTGGTCCCAAGTCAGTACTCCCACACCTGGAGTGGGGAGAGAAATGAGTGCAACCTCTGCTCAGCTCAGTGGAGAGGGGAGGAACAGTTGGAGCAGTTTTTGACATAGGTACCTCATCACCAGGGAAGGGGTGGAAGTCCATTATGCAGGTTCACTGAACAAGCGGATGGATGGGTTTGTCCTGAGGTCACTAGTGACCTGCTAAGCATGCATTACAGCCTCTGCTCCAGCGGAGTTGGAGGAAGAAGAGAATGAACAGCAACAAAGAACAACAAAGAACTAGGGAATACCGACAGAGACCAAACCCCAAGTCATACAACTCTTCCTCAGCTGGTAATTGTCCCAGACCAGTCAGTGCATTCAGCTGAAACCCCAGGAATTCAGGATGGAAACCTTGCATCATATAGAAGCCAGTCCTTCCCTTTCTCATCCTATCTAACCCAGGTAGGAAGCCCACTAGTCCTCACTACTTTTTTTTACCTTTGCACCTTGGACTCCTCTTCTCACCTTGGAAGCAAATTCTTTGCCTGCAGCAAGCTGCAGCGCCCAGAGCAGGACACAAAACCTCCAAGCACCATTAAGCACGAAGTCCACGTTCATAGCATGGTCTGTCTCTGCAGACTGCAAAGGGAGCACGAGCCAAAACCTTCTGGGGATGCCAGTATTGCTCCTGATAAAGCAGCTGTTAGCACAGGCAAACGCATGAAGCACTGCAAGAGCAAAGGGGGCAGAGCTTCATTTTAAACTGTTTAAAAGTGGATTAAATCTGTTCTCCTCCTTCAGATGCAGGTGGACAGTGTGCATGGAAACTGGCCGCCAGAACGTACAGCTTTGCTCGACCATCCTCAAGGTCGCCTTCGCCCCAGGAATCGTCGGCCCCCTGTACTTCTTCCCACTGCTCTACTTGCTCTGCCAGCTTGGAGAGGGACTTCTGCTGATCCTGGTCTTCAGGATCCATGACGGAATAAAGAAACCAAACAGCAAGTACAGCTTCGCTCCTGTATTTCTTACACTTTCCAATCCGAACCACATACGCTTACATGTAATTACCAATTAATTGCTGCTTTCTAGGGGCAGAATCAGGTTGCCCTTTGGTGGTAACTCAGTTACCACACCCAATGCATTCAATACAAACCACAGTCAAAATTTCATAGGTAACTGAAGATATTAGAAATTACGGCTTCTTGCATCAGCAGAATGTTTCATATAGCTATATATACTATCTATATTATCAGTGCTCAGAGGTTTTCAGAGTCCTGTGCTTAAGCTAGGATGGGCATCCTGCAAAAGCTGATTTGCACTGAGCACATGCAAAGAACAGTCACACACACATGTGCACACCTAAAACTACATGAGAACATCAGGTATTCTTTAATGCAACGAATTCCAGCTTCACTGTAAACTGTTGAGATTCACTGAAGGGTGTCACTTTTGGAGAAGGGGGGAGGAGGAAAAGGACAGAACTGTCAAGTGCTCCAGCTGAAGGAAGGAAAACGATGGAACCTTTGCTAGGAAAGTACATAGATTGAAGCTTAATTAAAATATATATGCAGTATTGGTATAGATGTGAGGTAGACTCTTCTCCAACTTCAACAGGTCCATAATGCCAAAGCCCAGCTAAGCGTCTGCAATGATGGCTGGAGAACGCACCGCTGAATGAGATCCTCCACCAGTCATCCCTCTGATGCTTCCAGATCAGCTTTCTCCAGTCCCTTGGGACAGAGAAGCAGCTGAGCAGCTGCTGCAGGAGCACTTCACTGTGCATCTTATAGCTATAGCTGAAGGATGACTGTTGCTGGGGAAAAAAACTCCACTCAGTTCAGACCCTCAGGTGTGCCTTCGGTGCAAAGCAGTTGATATTGGCAATATCCATACAGGTGCTTGCAAGACTGCTATAAACAGGGTGGCTTTCCAGGTTCTGATTCATGAACGACTGGAAACAAAATGGTTTAGATATTTTGGCAGGACTTCCAAGTTCCTTCCTTTTGCTTTAAATCACCCAGCAACACCAAATGTAGCTGTGTCACAACCTTTCCATAACCTGCGTTCAGCATTGCCTATTCTCACTACATTTTTCTTTTTCTTCAGCTGCAGCAAAAACAAGCTGCACAGCTGTGGACACAGTTACTGCTCAAGAAATGAAACTAGTGTCAAGGCCCTGCAGAAAGAGTGGTAAACCAGGAAAACCATACAGGTGGCTTCTGCAGCAGCTGCTATCACAACCCCTCCGAGTTCCACCTTCCGCAGCCGGCTTGCAGGTCTCCAGCAGTTGCGTGTAAGACTTTTACCTACATGCTCATTTTACACCAGGCAAAGGGATCACCAGAGAGCTATCTGCACCCTCACTGCTACTTCCCAAAGACCTCGCTCCGGGCTAAGCCTCTCCCTGCCTGCCCATGAGGGAGACTTCCAGTGACTTCCAAGTCATCGTGGCAACCCTTTCGGAGAGCTTAGGGCCACGCTCCCAAGTGACTGCCACCAGTTTTGCCCATGTGAAAATCACTGCCCACATGAGTTCCCTTTTTTTAATTTCACTTACCTGTAATTGTCCCGCTGGCACATGATGGAAGCAGCTCTCAAAGACGTCGCTGAAAATAAACGTAATTTCTCTAACAAAGCCCCAAAATGAGGTGTGAAAGTTTCTCAGTGCAGGAGCTGCTGAGACCCAGCATGCAGCTGAGCAGCCCATGCTGGTCAGTCCCAAACCCAAGCACTGTGTGGGGCACCACTGCTCTCCAACATTGCAGAGGCCACAAAAATGGAAGACAGTGACGCAGATTGCCTTAGTACATCAAGCTTGGGTCCAGCAAGCTGTACCTCTGAAAACACATGAGCCTTGAATGTGCCTTGCTTTGTAGGAGTCAGTGAACTGAATACAACCCCTCGTCAGGACACCATCTAGCCCTCGTCACACTACAATGACGAGTATGAGGGAAGACTGGCATTAACAACTCCAACAGGCAAAGTATGCATCGTTAACATGAAGTAACCCATCCTAACCAAGAATAAACAGGCTCATACCAAGACCCTACACTTCATAAATGCAGAATCATTTCTGGCCAGGTAACCCTCCATAACGCAATGCCTGGGAGGTTGTTGTAAAGTGGAAGCTCGTCATTGCCAACAGCCCACTCCCCAAGTAAAATGCAGAAATCTACTCGTGCTGCTTGCGAGGCTAGTGTGGGCTTTAGAAACAGAATTGGGAACTGTTATTTATAGAGCGGATAGTACTTCATATCTAGCCTGAGGAAGTGGCCAAAATCCCACCCCTTTCCAATCATCAGGTGCCTTCAGCCACCGGGGTCCCTGTTGGAGCCAAGTCCCACTTGAACAGACACTCATAATCATTCAAGTTAAGCAGGAAGGAGCTGGCTTGAGGTAAGGCAGCTAACCTCACCCCCAGCAGAGGGCCAACGCTGCCTTCAGCCCTGGAGATTAAAGCACTCTTCTTCCACTCTTCCACCTCTTCAGGTGATCCAGCACCTGACCTACTAACCTCGGAGCATGAAGCCTCCCACCCCACAAAGCCGACTAGTAATAATCCAATTCACTGCCGCTCCGCCGGACCACCTCTCAGGGCCTGCTCCCAGGAGCGCCTGGCCTTTTGATACGGTGCCACCCGAACGGACACGTTCACAGGGCGCAAAAGCTCATTCTCGTTCGTTAGTTCAGAATGCATTTGTGAGAACTGTGCAGCAGTAGGGAGAAAAAGGCAGCAGGGTCTGCAGACATCCCAAACAACTAACCTTCCCCAAGGCCAGACCTTGCGCTGAGCAGAACCAAAGCAAGCCCAGCCTAAGCTCCAGCCATCTTTAAAGGTTTCCCTGGATTGCTGGCGTAATGAGAAAACGCTTTAAAATTTGAATTCTAAAGCACTTTCTTGGAACATGGATGAGGGTTTCAGCAACACGGGATTGCAGAGGGTTGCTGCTCCTGTAAGGCACACACACTAAAACACAGGCTGCAGTACTCCCACCCACCAACTTAAAAATCCCTCCTCTTCCTCCAGAATGAGGACTAATGCCTACAAAAATGCTTTATCCATTTATTCTCTCACGTGCGTGTGCACAAACACACCAATGAATTATGCTGACTACATCCATCATTTATATTCCAAGCAGTGATTAAAACCCTGATAACTTGTCCATTCCACTTTCTGCTATGAACTATGACAGTGTGATTCTCCTTATTATCAAGGTTCTTATTTCAGAACATAAAAATATCCAAGAACATAGCAGGACGTATTTAAAGGAAGCAGGTTCTCCCCCACACCCAAAACAATAGCTTCGCTGTAGACCCATCTTTAAGAAACATTTTAATACTGTCCAACAAAATAAGGCGCAGCCACACTTATTTTATTAACAGTAAAAACACACTAGAAGCAGATACGTGTTTCTTTATACTTTATTTGAGCTATTTAATTCTTAAGTATCAAGAATTAGGGTGCTTTATAGAATATTATTACCACAGGGCAGTGAAATGGGCATTTTCTTAGTGTAGTGCAAGTTATATTAAATGAAAACCTTTTAAAATAAAGTTTTATTACCAGTACTGACCAGCACTTAAATCTGCTGACCTATAACTGAAACAATGGTTCAAAAGCACAAAAAAATACCCTCTGAAATAAAGCTTTATGTACAGCACATGTAGAGCTCTTAAATGCCTAAAGCTATTAGTTTAATTTGGGATATTAAACTAATGTTCTGAGTTGCTATTCACAGTTGAATATACTGGGAATTAAGTGTTCAGATGACTTCTTTTGGAGTACAAAAAAATTTGTCTGCTTTAGTTATAAAGAGCTCTGCCAATATACACAAACTATACACTTCAGACATTCACAAAAAAATGTGAGCAAGAAAAGGGTTATCAAAAAACATTTAATACAATTAGTCAATAACCCTTCCCACCATGGTCCACATCTACAAAGTTCCCCCATCCCTCCCCCCTCCCCATCCAAACCCTTCCCCACAGAAAGTCACATACTTACCACAAGTTTTAGCAAGTATGGTTTAAAAAAGGGCCCCCAGGGCAAGTTACTTATAGTTCAGTTGCCACTGTCAACAGATCTGGACCTCGATCTAGACCTCTGCCGATCCACAGATGATGGGGATTTAGATCTACTGGAAGAACCACGTTTCTGGCTCTTCTCTGGCATTGGAGATCTACTAACTGATCGAGACTTGCTACGGCTCCTACTCCTTGACCTGCTGTAAGACTTGCGGCTGCGGGAACGGGAACGGCTACGAGACCTGGATGAGCTTCTGCTACGAGACCGTGACCTGCTTCTGGACCTACTGAAGAAAAAAAAAAAAAGCATCGGTGTTAGCAAGGGAACATCACAGACCACAACAATAACCAGGCAATGACCACTGGTCTCCACTTCGGCTGCCTCGTCACTGTCTTCAAAGCTTTCTTAGTGGACATTTAAGCATTATTTAAGAGAATAGAAATCCATACCTGTGCCTTTTGCTGCCTTCAATTAGTTTGATTTTCCTTCCATTAATTTCTTTACCAGAAAGCTTTTCAATAGCATTCTTTAAATCACTGTAAGAGGCGAATTCAACCACCCTATAGAAAAAAAATAAGAACAAAAAAAACCAAAACACAGAGCTCACTATTGCAAGTTGTACTTTTGATGATAGAGCAAAACATACTCCAGGGGAAAAAACCCCACAACAAACCACAACTCAAAAAACCTCACACTGCTCAGTGCAGTCATCCCTTGTCATAACTCAAGCATGAACTGAAGGATTCCCTTCCCCAAATACCAGAGAATGCATTTTCAAAGGGTAGCTAAATTAAACCACAAACAGCTGCTGAGCACTGAAAGCAGCCAGCTTCCCTCTGCAAATACTGCATGTACAAATACTACTCTACTGCTTGCAAGAGATGATTTTAGAGGCTTACCCTTCATTTAACTTAGGTCTGTGTGCATCTGCAAAGGTTACTTCCCCAGCTTGTCTCATGAAGTCTTTGAGATCCTAACACAAGACCAGTTATGTTATGCAAAGAAGTGAAATTAATACTTATCTATATAAAAAGTTAAAAATCAAAACAAAAGAAACTTATGACTACTGAAAGAGGTATGTTAGATAAATTACAAACATGGCAATTGCCATACTTGTATTCTATCAAAATTGAATTATCTATATCAGGGCACGAAATAAATGAAAAAAGCACATTGCTTTAAGCAAAATGCTAATAAAGTGTCTTAACATTAAGGAAAATATTAGTCTACAAAGATTACATAGATTAAATAAGAAAGAGAGAAAGAGAGAGAGAGAGAGAGAGAGAAATAAAAGAGTACATTTGTATATATACTGGACTGAGTAAGAAATACTACCCATATATTTTTTGTATTATTTCAGCCTCCATTTACATTACGAGTCTTATATGCATACAGAATTACATTTACATTAACACCAATTATTTTGTGCCCCATATGTCATTAAAAATATAGTTTACTTTACCTTTATTAACATTTCCCTAGGCTAGCCAAGCAGCAAACTGCATTAAGCGACCGGAGATACCGTCATGATATATGCCCGACTGGCTCTTCGCCACCCACTTGACGAACACTACCCAGTCGATGGAAGCCATTAATCGCACTGCCCTCCCTATTAGGAGACTATTGATGGATCCAGACATTCTCTATGCTTGATGTTACCAAGGACCACTTTACTGCGATCAGGATTCCAACGACCACCTAATTTCGTATCTTTCAACTCTTTTCGACCAGGACCTCTTTATTCGGAAGCGTTACAGGAAGAACAGCTCTCAACTTAGGAATCAGATCTCGTTAACGCTCTGCGATCGCTGCAATGTGGCACTTTAAGGAGTGCATCGATTACGTCTAGACCGGCAAAGACAGATCTAGAGGTGGCCAAGTGACATTGTAGGAGCTGACTGGAAAGTCAACCAGGCCCAACCAAGAGTGACCAAGACAGAACGATTAGGATAACCCACAGGCACTCCTCGTCATAAGGCCAACGACACAGATAGGCTGGCAAATAAAGGGTTTAATATGTGGTTAAAATGGATTTAAAAAACAAGAAAAAAATAAATATATATCCTCAAATATATACATTTATTATTATTATAAATTAAAATTAACTAGTTTTCATTCAAAATATTTAAATTACATTATTTTAAATTACATTAATTACAAAAACATTT